TTGTCTTTTTCTTGCCTCCTCTTTTGACTTTAGGGATTGTGTACATAGTGGAGTTTGTTCTACACTGGATTATATGCAACACAGAGTTACCATACATTTGAAAGGCACACTTAGGACTATGGAGAGGAAAGGAAAACAGGGATGGTGTGCACCATGCTGTGGAGTGAAAAGGGAGGTGTGGTTGTGTGTGCATAGGTCTATGAGGTGGGGAGGGAGGCAGGCGAGTGTGCTCAAGGGGTTCTCTTATTGTGCTGGGCCACCGCCTATGACTATTACTGTGTGAGGCAGTGTTGATAGCCTGAAGGGTAGAGGTGGGACATGTAGTCTATCACTATTTTATTTGACCCAGTCAGTGTTTATAGAAAATTAACAAGTTTGCTGGGTATGGTGACTTATTCTTAGCACTTGGCAGGCAGAGGCAGATGGGTCTCTGAGTTCTTGGCCAGCTTTGTCTACATAGGGAGTTCCAGGTCAGCCTGTGCTACATAAGACCCTGTCTCAAAAAACAACAAAAAAAAAATTTAGCAGTTAAAGTTTTTTTCTTTCTTTTTTTAGCTAGCATCTCACTGAGTAGTTCTGGCTGGCCTGGAACTCTTTTTGTAGACCACACAGGCCTCAGCTTGTAGTGATCTCTTATCTCAACCTCCTCCTGGCTTCTACCCTACAGCTTAATACTGTTTTTAAAAATTTGCATTTATCTATTTTTATTTTATATATATGAATGTTTTGCCTGCATGGTATGTAAATGCACCGTGTCTGCTAGAAGAGGATGTTGGATCATCTGGACTTGGAGTTAGAATGATTGTTAGCTGCCATGTGGGTGCTGGGAATTGAACCCAAGTCCTCTGCAAGAGCAGCCAGTGCTCTTAATGGCTGAATCATCTTTCTAGTCCCAGCCCCAGTAGTCTTAATAGTTACAGCCAAATTTAAGAATGATTTAGTTACTGGGCGTGGTTGGCACATGCCTTTAATCCCAGCACTCTCCAGCCAGAGGCAGGCAGATTTCTCTGAGTTTGAGGCCAGCTTGATCTCCATAGTGAATCCAGGCTAGCTGTGGCTACAAGGAGACCCTGTCTCAAAAAGACCACCAAAAAAAAAAAGATTCAGTATTAGAGATCTGAATTTTACTTCTGTGGTTATGTTAGTGACAACGGTGGTTGACAGGAAGTAATTGACTTCTGTGTTGAAAGATAACAGTGCTTTGAAAACAATATTTCCAGACATTTCAGCAAAGACCCTGAGGTTGTAAATTGACCAACAATCACAATGCGTGTACTGGGGGCTGATCCAGACACATTGGCAGATACATAGCACTGTTTCCAAGAACTGGTTTCTCAAGCAACTTGTCAGCCTCTTGGTGTGGTACGAGTACCCCAGCATGAGCCTGCTATGCTCTGACTTTCCTTGCCCAGCCATAACCCATTAGTGCCAGCACAAATTACATAGGGCATTGTGTGATAAGAATGCTCTTTGACTGAAACTCCAATTGGCATCAGGAGAGACTTCTTGCTGAGTAAATTTTCCATTATGATCCATGGGTTCCTGTTCACCTTCAGCAGCGAGATTGACAAATGGCCTCACTTCCCTGCCACTGTGGCTTCCCTGTATATCCTTGTACTACAAGAATGGGAGGAGTGTTGTGATTTACTCTTCTTACAAAAAGTCACTTTCCTGTTGAGGCCTCAGATGCTGGGTCTTCTGAGGTACAGAGGCTGAGGTCAGGCTATGTGTTCCAAGGCCAAATGCTGTCTGGTCCAACTCACAGCCCATATATCTTAGAGGATGATAGTTTGAGATTCCAAAACACCCAGCCAGTCTCATCTTGTTGAAGGGCCTTGCACAGTTGGTAGACCTTCTAGAAGGCTCTGTTCACCTTGCATATGGATGTCCAAAAGAAAACTTACCACCTTGAAACTTAACTGGGTTTCCCTTCTGCTCCAGTGGTATAATACAGAGTGCCTGGCAGTCAGCAAAACCCATGGTTCACTACTCAGTAGGAAGGGGCTCTGACTTAGGTCTAGGGTTCAAATAAGTGAACTCAAATGACTCCATCCTTGTTATTTCTCAGTTTATTGACTTCAGATGGAATGAGTAGAGCTATTGAAGGCCATCTTTAGAGAAGAAAGCTGGCTGGAGAGCCAACAGATGTGCAGCTGCTTATAGGGTCGTCCCTCAGCTCAACAATGTAGAGTCCAGATTGCACAGTCTCAACTATGTTGAGAGTGAGTTAGGGTATGGCCAAGGGTAGAATTTAAATGACTAATTATGAAGTGTTTAGTGCTAACAACTGACTATCCACTGTGGTGCCAGGGAATCACTTAGATTTTACGTGTACTATTGCATATATTGCAATTCAGGTAACGATAAAAATTTTTTTTTTAATTATTGGGGGCTAGGGAGAGAGCTCAGTCAGTAAAATGCTTGTTGTGTTGTTTGATTCTCAGCACCCATATAAAAAGCTGGGTGTGGTTGTACATATTTGGGGTTTTAAAAAATATTTTATTTTTTTATTTTATGTGTATGTGTGTATTGCCTGCATGTAGGTAAGTGCACCCGTGTTGTGCAGTGCCCGAGGACAACAGAAGAGGCTATCGAAGCCCCTGGAACTGGAGTTACAGGCAGTTGTTAGCTGCCGTGTGGGTGCTGGGATTTGAACCTGGGTCTTCTGCAAGAACAGCCAGTGTTCTTACCGCTGTTCTTAATCTCAGCACTGGGGAGGTGGAGAGAGAAGGATTCTGGAACTCACTGGTTATCTAGCCTAGCCAAATCAAGCCCCAAGTCCCAAGGAGAGACCCTGTCCAAACAAAAAGAAGATGGATAGCTGCAGAAGAAAAACCCCAAGGTTGACCTCTAGCCTATACACACATGTACCCATGTGTGAAAACAGAAACACTAAAAAAATGTTAGTGGAAGCCTGGGTGGTAGCACGTGTAGTTAATCCAGCATTTGAGAGGCTGAGTCAGAAGGAATTTGAATTTGAGGCTAGCATGGGTAATGTAGTGAGACCCTGTCTTAAAACAAAAAAATTATTGGAAGCTAGGTATGATAGATAATGCCTGTAGGCCTAGCACTTGGGAAGAGCAGAGGCAAGATGATCCCTGCAAGTAGTTTGAGGTCAGCCAGAGCCAAATCCCTGCTTTAAAAAAACAGAACTTCCACCCAGGTATGGTGGTGCACACCTTTAATCCCAGCACTCTTGGGAGGCAGAGGCAGGTGGATCTCTGTGAATTCAAGGCCAGCCTGATCTACATAGTGAGTTCCAGGACAGCTGGGGCTATAGGGAGACCCTGTCTCAAAAAGACCCCCCCCCAAAAAAAAACCCCAAAACAGAACTTACAAATTTAATGGATTTAAGACAATTTTTTTTGTTGTTGTTTTTTTTGGTTTTGTTTTGTTTTTTTTTGAGACAGGGTCTCCTTGTAGCCCCAGCTGTCCTGGAACTCACTATGTAGACCAGGCTGGCCTTGAACTCACAAAGATCCACCTGCCTCTGCCTCCCAAGTGCTGGGATTAAAGGCATGCGCCACCACGCCCGGCTGGTTTAAGACAATTTTTTAAAAGTTTATTTATGTGAATGTGTGTGTGCCTGCATGTCTGTATGTGTACCACATGCATACAGATGCCTTGGATGTCAGAAGAGGGCATTGAATCCCCAGGGACTGGAATTACAGGCAGTTGTGAACTGCAATATATATGTGGAGAACTGAACCCAGGTTCTCCACAAGAGCAGCTAGTGCTCTTAACTGCTGAGCCACCTCTCCAGCTCAAAAATTTAATGGATTTAAAGAATAGTAGAATATGTTTATGACCTAGAATGAGGAAGGCCTGCCTGCCTGTGCACAATACAAAAAAGTCATAAAGGGCCAGGTGGAGTAGTACACGCCTTTAATCTCAACTACTCAGGAGACTGAGGATCGTGTGTTCAAGAGGCCATAGGAGGAAGACTGGTTGTAGTTCAGTGACTCCAAAAAGCTCTAAAGGAAAACTGGAAATTCTGATTTCGTAGAAATGAAAAACTTTTTGTATGGCTAAAATCAACTTAAGCAATTAAAAAAAAATTTAGAGCGAAAATATTTTACATATTTATAAACAGATTAATAGTAGAAATTTTTTAAACTTGTAAATAACTACGAAGCTTAAAATTACCCAGTAGGCAAGGGCCAAATGCTATGAACAGATGAAGAGGAAAACAAATGTCACATACCCAAAGTACCCTTAGAGAAAATGTCAATTAAGAGTCTTGTTTTCTAACCAATCATAAGGCAGCAAGTGGACCTGTTCCTCCTAGTACTGCATACCTTAACCCACCTCCCTATGCCTACCCAGTGTCAGATCCTATCTGTGTGTGTTGTCCATAGGGTAGCATGGGTCCTCAAGTATAAGGACGTGAGCTGGAGTCCTGGTGGTTCTGGCTGACTGCTTCAGAAATGCATTTTCCATTGGGCCAGAAGTGAGTTACTTTGTAGCCAGTAACAAGGATAATGGATACTTCTCTACTTGTGTTCTTCAGGAGAAAGATGTCTGTTAGCCAAATGATACTCTATGTATATGCTCTTAAATGCCTTTCAAAAAGCAAAGGAGGGGCTAGAGAGATTTCTCGGGTGTTAAGAGCACTGGCTACTCTTGCAGAGTTCAATTTCCAGCACCCTCATGGTGGCTAACTGGTATTTCAGGGGATCTGACACTTTCTTCTGATTTGTGCAGGTACTGCACAACATGGATGCACCAACCTACATGCAAACAATACACTCATACACATAAAATAAAAAGAGTAAATAAAATATTTTTTAAAAAGCAGAGGAAACATCTGGAAGGATACATAGTGCTACTCCCCCCACCAAAAAAAATTGAGAGAGATGGAATGGGAGAAGGGGCAAGGACTTTTCTGCTGTCTTTTTCTCTAAATTGCACTCAGGCACAGTTATCCAGATAATTCTTGACAGTGTTGATTAAAACAGGATACTTCCCTGCTGCCACTCATGTGCCTTTCTTGTTCACAGGTATGGATCGTGGAGGGAGCCCATTAACCCCTACTATGTCAACTCTGGCTATGCCCTGGCCCCAGCCACCAGCGCCAATGACAGTGAACAGCAGAGCCTGTCCAGTGATGCTGACACTCTATCTCTCACAGACAGTAGTGTGTAAGTTGTGTGCTTGCTGACTGCATACTTCAGTGCTCTGAGCTGATCCCGTTGACTGAGCCTTGTCTTCTGATATCTTTAGAGCTTGACGTGAGTGCGCCTAAAGAACAGACAAGTAGCTGGCTGTGGAAGCACACACTTATAATCCTAGAACTTGGGAGGCTGAGGCAGGAAGATTGCCATGAGTTACAGATTAGCCTGGGCTACATAGTGAGACTCTGTCTCAGAACAAAACAAAAACCCTTTAAAAAAAGGACCCTGTGAGCGGTGTCCTTTAAAACCTAACCCAGAGGCAGAGGCAGATGGATCTCTGAGTTCTGAGCTATATAGTGAGACCATGTCTTAAAAAAACAAAAAAAAAGAGACAAAAACAGCTGAAGGGCCAGGGTGTAGCTCAGTGGAGGCCCTGGGTTCAATCTGTAGCACCACAAAAACAAATTTTAAGACTCTGAAACAATCCAAGCTAGAATTGAAGTTTGCAGTAGCTTCTTCTCTGAGGCCAAAGCTTTCAGGACCTTTTGAGAGAAGAGGGCTTGAGGTTAGAGCTGCTCTCCAAGAAGCTTGAGGTTCATTTTCTCCTAGCTATAAAGCCTAGGGTTTCAATATGAAGGTAGGCACAAGGAACAGCCAGATGGGGAGCAGCCTCTCCCAATGTTAGGGCAGAAAAATCCACCAGGCTGCACCCCCCCGCCCCAATGGTGTTCTGTCCTGGCCCTTTTTGTGTGTTGTGAGCAATCCTGGGGAGCTGGAGAGGCAGGCCAGTCCAGGTCTTCTGTACTAAGACCAGTTCCCTGAAGGTTTAGGGAACAAGCTGTGGAGTCAAGTGTGAGCCTCCACTTCCCTGATAGTATATGGTAACAGTTGGTGTGGTCATATTCCCAGAACCCCCTTGTAGGAATGAACCTATCCTGTGAAGCACTTCCTACTGGTGGCCTTTTCAAGACCAAGTACACATCAAATAATTGTTGAAAATAATTTTGTTGTGCTGATCATCGAACCTGGTCAGATTGTTTGGGGTCCTGACTTGGTCATGGATGGACTGAATCTCCAGCATGTCTGGGCCTTCCTCCAGTACCATCTTAGCATTGGAGTAAGCCTTTGATCATTAACAGTAATCAGGAGTAAGTATACCAACTGCCATTAGATATCCCTTAATTCATGACTACACAGGGTTCTCTGGACAAGAATCCTGACCCAGCTCAGTAATTCCACCTAACAGGTTTGTCTCTTTGTGTGAAAAGTTGGAAAATTGGATTGGTTTAAATAAGTAGAAAGAGGGGCTGGAGAGATGGCTCAGCTGTTAAGAACACTGGTTGTTCTTGCAGAAGACCCAGATTCGAATCCCAGCACCCACAGGTCAGCTAACAACTGTCCATAACTCCAGTCCCAGGGGATCTGACAGCTCCTTCTGACCTCCATGGGCATTGCATGACATGGGTGCACTTACCTACATGCAGGCAATATATCAATACACATTAAAGAAATAAATGAATGAGTAAATAAGTAAAAGTAGAAAGAGAAAGACACTCCTTACTGGTGGGCCTGTGTGTGTGTGCATGTGGAAGCCAGAGGTCAATGTTGAGTCTCTTCTATTGTTTTCTTTCTTTTTTTTTTTTAATGTGTATGAGTGTATTGCTTGCATGTAAGTGCACTCGTGTCATGCAGTGCTGCAGAGGTCAGAAGAGGGCTTCAGATTCCCCTGGAACTAGAGTTAAGGATGGTTCACAGCTGCCATGTGGGTTCTGGGAATCAAACCCGGGTCCTCTGCAAGAACAGTCAGTGCTCTTAACCACTGAGCCATCTCTCCAGCCCCTTTTTTATTTATTATTTTTATTTTATGTGTATGCATGTGTTGCATGTATGTAAGTGTACCATGTTGTGCAATACCCTCAGGGGACAGAAGAGGCTGTCAGTTCCTCTGGAACTAGAGTTAGCTGCCATATGGGTGCTGGTATTCAAACTTGGGTCTTCTGCAAGAACAGCTAGTATTCTTAACCACTGAGCCATCTCTCCAGCACCGCCCCCCCTTTTTATTTTATTTTTTGTCTTTTTGAGACAGGGTCTCCCTTGTAGCCTAGCTGTCCTGGAACTCACTATGTAGACCAGGCTGGTGCCTTGAACTCACAGGGATCCGCCTGCCTCTGCCTCCCAAGTGCTGGGATTAAAGGCGTGCACCACCACACCTGGCTCCAGCCCTTATTTTTAAAAAATTTAAAATTTATTGTGAGGGAGTGTGTGTGTGTGTGTGTGAGAGAGAGAGAGAGAGAGAGAGAGAGAGAGAGAGAGAGAGAATGTATACATGTTTTGTCTGTGCCATAGCATGCAAATGGGGGTCAGAGGACAGCTGAGGGGACTTTTTTCTCCTTGCTCCCATGTCTGATCTGGGGATCAAACTTAGGTTATTAGGCCTACACTGAAGGACTTCTACCCACCAAACTGTCTCACTGGCCTTTCACCTTACTCTTTTTTAAGTAAAAAAAAATTTTTTTGAGACAAAAGCTGGCCTGGATCTTACTATATAGACCAGGCTGGCTTTGATTTCACAGAAATCCACCTTCCTCTGCCTCCTGAGTACCAGTACAGAGGTGTATGCTATCACATACATCTGACCCATTGGTAGATTTTAACTGCTTTTTTGTGACTATGTTTCATTTTATTTTAAGATTTATTTTTAATTTAGGCATCTGAGTGTTTTGCCTGCCATGTGTGTGCATTGCTCAAGGAGACCAGAGGAGGGCATCTGATCCCCTAGAACTGGAGTTATGGAACATTGTAAGCTACCATTGTGGGTACTAGGAATTGAACCCAGGAGCTCTGCAAGAGTAGTAAATGCTCTTAACTCCAGGCCCTGTGAATGTGTTTTTAAAGGATGGGCCCCCCTTTACCATTTTTATGGTTTGTTCTTTTCATCTGCCTGCCCTTAACCATTCTTCCAACATTTGACTTTCAAAAGTACAGGGCACATATCTTCTGCCACTCAGAACCTAGTATAATGAATTCCACCTGGCACATACAGAGCTGGCTTCATTTTCTCCCTATATTAACTATGTGGTGGCAACACCAGGATGGGTGTCTGTCTCTTCAAGTTCTGTGATAATGTGTACTACTTCTTACTTCATTCTCCTTTAATTTTGAATCTTCAGATAAAATGTTGACATTTTCAGCAATACTTTTTTTGAACTATAGACTATTTTCATTTTTGTTTTAGGGGAGAGATAGGGTTGCTCATATAACCAAGGCTGGCCTTGAACTCCTAAGGTAGGTAAAGATGACCTTCAATTCTCTGGTTTCTACCTTCTGAGTGCTGAGGTTAGAGGCATGCACCACCATGCTGCTGGGGATGGAACTCATGGTTTCATGTATGCTAGGCAAGCACTCTGCCAACTGAGCTGTGTCCACAGCTCCCAAGTATAGTCATTTTTTTTCTTGATACTCTGTTCATCTTGATTTTTCTTGGGGGTTTAAGAATTTGGAATCTAAAGCCTGGTGTGGTGGCACACGCCTTTAATCTTAGCACTTGGGAGGCAGAGGTAGGTGGATCTGTGAGTTTGAGGTCAGCCTGGTCTACATAGTAAATTCCAGGTCAGCTGGGGCTACAGGGAGATCCTGTCTCAAAAAGACCAAAAAAAAAATTTGTTTTGGAATCTAAAGTTGCAACCTATATTTGAATATACATCAGAGGATAAAAGTAAAATGGTACATATCATATATCATTTATTTAAATCCCAGCATTTGGGAGGCAGAGGCAGGCAGATCTCTGTGAGTTCAAGGCCAGCCTGGTCTACATAGTGAGTTCCAGGTCAGATGGGGCTACAGGGAGACCCTGTCTCAAAAAGACAAAAAAAAGGAAGAAAAAGAAGAAAAAACATTTTCAGAATGCCTACAGTACAATAAGCAGAAGTGTTGAGGGTATATGCTTGTCTAGTATACATAAGACTTTGAGTTCCAACCCCAGTGCTTGAAAAAAAAGAAAAACAGAAATTTTTTCTTTTCATTAAAGTCCATGGAATCTAATTTGTGTTGCTCATATACTCTTGGGTATGAGTCTGTCTCCTGGACCAGAGGTCTCATCCTTAAAGAAAACTGGCTTCTCTCCCAGCAACTATCAGTTGCCAATAGTTCCTCAGTCACCTTCCGCCACCTTCCCCCTCCATGCTGGGGATTTTCTGGTTTCAACTTGTATAGATATTATGCATGCTGTCATAGCCATTGTGAGTACATATGTGCATCTGCTCTGTTGTGTCCAGAAAGTAGTTTTGTTGTAGCCATTCACTGCCTTTGGCTCTTACAATCTTTTTTTAAAATACTTTATTTCATTTTTATTTTATGTGTATTCCCTGCATGTAGGTAGGTGCATCCGTGTTGTGCAATGCCCAAAGAGGTCAGAAAAATGTCAGTGACAGTTGTTGGCCACCATGTGGGTGCCAGGTTCTCTGCAAGAGTAGCCAGTGCTCCTAACCTCTAAGCCAGCTCTCTAGCCCCTCTTAAAATCTTTTTTGTCTCCTCTTTTTCAATAATTCCTGAACCTTGGGAGGAAAGGTATGATACAGATGTCCCATTTAGGGCTAAGCATTCTGCACTCTTATTTTTCTGCACATTGACCAGTCCAGTTGGGATCACTGTATTAATTGTCATCTACTGCTAAAAGAAGTTTCACTGATAAAGTTGAGAGGTATACTCATTTATGAGTACATCTGTAAGTCATTAGGATTTAGCAGAATAACTGTAAGATTTCCCCTAGAGTCTCTGACCTATCTAAGGTCAGGTTCTAAGTCTAAGCCACAGGTTCTTGACCTGATAATGGTGCCAGGTATGGGTTTCATCTTGTGAGTCAGGCCTTAAATCCAGGCAGAAAGCATTTGGTTACTCTCGTGACGTTTGTGCCACTATTACACCACTGCTCATATCTTGCTAGGCCAGTTGTTAATATAGCTTGCTGGAGTCACAACTGGGTAAGATTGATGATTACTTTTCTCTTCTGGTAGCATGTGTAGACTTTCCAGTACTATGAAAACTAGCCAGTAGCTCATCATTTCTACTGGGGCAGCTCACAAGTTTCTCACAGTGAGGTTACAGTTGGATCACAAAACTATTCAGCAAGGTGCTTCCTGCTTTGTCATCCATCCTTGGATATGATACTGAAGACAAGCCTAAACCCCAGAGACTGGGCAGTTTTAAAGTGCTATGTCTATATATAGAAGAAACGGTTTTTTTTTTTTTTGGTCTTTTTGGAACAGGGTCTCCCTGTAGCCCCAGCTATCCTGAAACTCACTATGTAGACCAGGCTGGCCTTGAGCTCACAGAAATCTGCCTGCCTCTGCCTCCCAAGTGCTGGGATCAAAGGCATGCGCCACCACACCTGGCTAGAAGAAACAGGTTTTAACTGTTGGTTGTAGGCCACCTACTGACCCTGAGGGTCTGCACAGCCAAGTTGTGTGAATTTTAAATTTTTATTCCTCCATCCTTTATGCCCTAGATATACTTGTAAAAGGAAGAATACTGTAGGATTGCACTCTTGCCCAGTCACACCAACCTGCCTGTAGCTGTAGTTGTGGCTGTGGCTTTGTCTTGTCCTGCTGCCAAGTTAGAGCAGCACTGGTGAGGTTCTCCTGTCTTTGGTGCCTTCCAGTCTCCTTGAGAGGGCAGGATACATAGATACACACCTTTTAAACTGCTCTATGGAGATGAGAGACCAAGCTCTTTGATTAGCAAGATGGTTTAAAAACTTATGCCACTCAGCATGGAGACTGCAGTACCCCGCCCACCTGTTTTCATGTAACTAGTGCAGCAGGGGGACTCAGAACTTTGATTAGTTAACCTTTGTCTTCTGGACTACTGAGGAAATCTTTTCATTAATGGTTCCAGCTGCTGCCGTGCTTCCCAGAGCAGCTTTCAGAACAGTGGAATGGGGGCTGGGCAGTTTTCTAGGTGTTGGATCTAGCATCTATCTTGATAGTAAGAGCCTTACCTTTAATGATCTTAGTCTTTGGATTTATAGCTACCAAAGAAAGATGGTACTTTCAGCCGGGCGTAGTGGCGCATGCCTTTACGCACTTGGGAGGCAGAGGCAGGCAGATCTCTGTGAGTTCAAGGCCAGCCTGGTTTACATAGTGAGTTCCAGGACAGCTGGGACTACAGGGAGACCCTGTCTCAAAAAGACCAAAAAATAAAAAAATTAAAAAAAAATCATTCTTAGCTATTAGACCTTCAAACCTTGTAGATCTAGGAGTACATAAAGTAGACATAGATGATCTTTGTTGAAATGCTTAATAAATAGTAGCTAGAAGAATAGTCCATGACTGAACTCCTGGGCTTTGCTATCAAATATGAAATTGTATGTGTCCCATGCAGTTGTCTGTGCCTCATGCAGTTGTCTGTGCCTTTATATGCACATACTGTCCCATGTGTGCATACAAATGGGGTGATACAACACAGATGCTGGCACCATCAAGAGTGACCATGAGCTGGAAACAGCATGATGTTCTGCTGTACTCTGTTTCCTGCTTGAGGTAATGTGCACCCCCTTTGTCTACACAGGGATGGAATCCCCCCATACAGGATCCGTAAACAGCACCGAAGGGAAATGCAAGAGAGTGTCCAAGTCAATGGGCGGGTACCTCTACCTCACATTCCTGTAAGTACCACCCTACTCAGCAGTAGTGCCTTGCCCTCCCTTCTACAGGTCCCCTACACAGAGTTGGCCACCATGGCACCAATCAGTGGGAGAAGCACTTGGCAGACTTCCTGCAAAAACAGCTTACTTCTGAGTATAGAAGGTGATCCGAGTGATGTGGTGAGAGATAACTATGCCCAGTGCAAAGACAGTCTAGGGTAGCACCCAGTTCCTAGAGAGTTTGCTGTGTTAGTAATAGGAAGTATCCTTCATGCAGCACCCTTCCCCAGAAGACTAGTTCTGAGCTGATGGATTCCAACTTGGGACCTGTCCTGGTCATTGCACAGGCACCTGGCCCCAGAGTGTGGTCAGAATGCACACTGTTGTTCAAGATGAAATTTAAGGAATTGACTTTTTTGTGCCTGAGCAATGGGTGTTGCCATGTGACTATCTGGGTTCAGAAGCTATCTCAGCTTTGCCTCTTGAGTAATAACAACAGCTCTTCCTGAGTCTGGAACCTAAGGCTTTGCTGGTTGCATGTTTGAGCGAGTATGCATAGCTGTCTCCACCTGCAGTTTCCCTGGTGACAAACAGAGCAATTCCTTCTTCTGACATTTTGAGCAAAAAGGCTTCTAGGAGAGGATGGGGAGCTTATGACAGTGCCTTTCACCCATGGCTGTCTCTGCATGTTGTTCACAGTGCCTATGCAAGAAGGATGGGGTGCTCAGAAGCATCGCACACTCATCAGCATTTCTTAGTTGTGTCTTAGCTTTCTTTTTTTTTAAATATTTTATTTATTATTTTTATTTTGTGCATGAGTGTATTGCCTGCATGTATGTAAGTGCACCTGTGTCATGCAATGCCATGGAGGTCAGAAGAGGGCTTCAGATTCCCCTGGAATTGGAGTTAAGGACGGTTCGTAGCCACCTTGTGGGTGCTGGGAATCAAACCCCAGTCCTCTGCAAGAGTAGTCAGTGCTCTTAACCGCTGAGCCATCTCTCCAGCCCCAGCTTTCTTTTTTTAAAAAACATTTTTATTTTATGTGTATGTGCTTGTACCATGTATGTGCAGTGCCCACAGAAACCAGAAGAGGATGTCTAATCCCCTGGACCTGGAGTTACAGACAGTTGTGTACTGCCATGGGGTGTTGGGACCCAAATCCAGGTCCTCTGGAAGAATAACAAGGTTCTTAACCACTGAGCCATTTCTCTAGCCCCATCTTTTAGCTTTTTGACTAAACCTTCAATTCCCAAATTATGAAAAGTGATATTTGTGGTTGAAAAATGTTTAGTCTTACCTCTAAGAAAGGATTGTCAGGGGCTGGAAAAACCCTCTTTTGACCTCCGCAGCATTGTACGACACAGGTGCACTCACATACATGCAGGCAGTACATTCATACACATGGTTACATGTACATACATACAAGTAAAATACTCATACATAAAGTAAAAATAAAAGTTTTTTTAAAAAAAAATCTTAAAAAGTAATTAAGGTGAAGAGCGATTGAGAAGACACTTGACATTGACCTCTGGCCTCGACACACATGCTTATCTGTAAAACAAACATGCACATGTAAAAAAACACAAACACATACACACCCAAAAAGTCATTGATATGTGGACTATGTGTGGAAAGTTCTGGGTCGGTGTGTCTGTATGTGTGTTGTGTACATGCATGTGTCTGCCTGTGTATGCCCATGTGTTTGCCTTTTTGTACAAGTGTGTGTTTGCATGTGCTGAAGGTGATCCAGGGCATGCTATGCTCACAACTGAGGCCTGTGGAATGGTCTAGACAGGTGATGTGCTCCTTTCTTGGCCTCTTCATTGTCTTCTCTGTGCTTAAGAATAGCAGGAGCTCAGAGGTGCTCAGTACATATCTAAACTCAGACCAGTACTGGGGTGAGAACATGAAAGAGGAACCTAAACACCTTGCTGTCCTCTATCTGAGGAAATGCCACAAGAGTGATGGGGACACATCCTGTGGTCATGGTACTTTATGTCTAGCACAGCAGCCACCTGAATGTTAAATTCAGATCCTGGCATGTACTGATGTGATAGTAGCAAGAGTCCCCAAGATCCCAAAGGGTTCTTCCTAATACCCTGCATTGCAGCATAGAAGCCCTCCTTGAGTTCATGACAGGTGCCCAGTTGGGAAGGGGTAGACACAGCTGTCCATGTGAGTATATGATAAATACGACTTCTGTGGCCATTCACTGCCTGGAATGATCACAAGGTCACATCCCAAGGTGAGTTACTGCTGCACAGTAACTGGCCTCACGTTTGCAGAAGCACAGGATCCTTAATGTCAAGGGAACTGAGGCCTGTGAAATACCTGCAGTCTGGGTTAGTGGGGGCTTCACAGTTTCTTGTTCCTGGGGTTGGGGTTCCTCATATGTAGGAAAGGAAAACAAGGTCAGGATGATGGGACATTAAACAGATAATACTTAGAAGTTTCAGGAAAGATGTCCTTTGTTTTGTCCTTGTAATTCTGTTTTCAGTGTAAGTTTGTGTTTGTCTGAAAATAAAACTGTAATTGAATAGATGAGTTAAACAGTATTAGAGCACACTGAGCACACTGATGAGTTAGACACAGGCCCAGAATGTGGCATAGACAGGATTAGAGACCAGAGGGAGAGCGGTTGCTTAATAATGTGCCACAGGGGCTATAAAGATGACCCAGAAGTCATCTTACTGCTCTTCCAGGGACAGAGGTTCAGTACTCAGTATCCACGTGGTAGCTCACAGCCATCTGTAACTGCAGTTCCAGTGGATCTGATGCCATCTTCTGTCCTGTATGGGCATTGCATATGTGTTGTACTTACATACACAAAGATAAAACACTTCTACACATTAAATAAATATTTTTAAAAAGAAAAAGATGTGACACAGGGCTGGAGAGATGGCGGAGCAGTTAAGAGCACTGCTCTTCCAGAAGACCTGGGTTCAATTCCCAGTACTCACATGATGACTAACAATTGTCCATAACTCCAGTTCCAGGGAATTCAACTCCTTCTAGGCATTGCATGACACGGGAGCACTTAGACACATGCAGGCAATACACTCATATAAAATAAAAATAATAAATAAAATATTTATAAAAATGGAAAAAATGTCAAGTTCCTAATGTAATGTTCATCAAAAAAAAATTATATGGAAATAAACCACTCACACTAACTGTGGGAAAAGGTAGTAGCTGGTGTGGAAAAAAATCCAGTCATGTGTAAAGACCTTAGAAGGAAATGAGACAGATCAGATGCACCCAGCTCTCCCCTGGGGCAGGAATTAAGCACTGTTCAGCAGTGTCAAATACCATTAAGTACTACTAAATGTTATTAGAGCTGTTAGTTCTGTGTTGATATTTCATTAACACTTT